TTTGAAGCCTTCAAATACTTGTTCAAAGTATTGCGACGAGTCTGCAGTTCTGATGAAAAGAATCCTGTTACACACTTAAAGAGACGTATTTCACCCCCTTTGTATTCGGTTTTATCTACTCTATCTATGTAGACGTCTCTGGCAGCATCTTGATTCGCCTAGTGTGTCTCTGTTTTCACCACACAGTGTTGAAGGAATGAATAAATTAGCAGCACTCCTGCACGGCTGGCCATTTAAGTGTTCCACCTCATTCAGAAACGAACCCCCGCTGTACCTAGTTGTCACTATTGTGGCTAATTTTTGTCTCACTGTTGCTATTCTTGACGCTTGATTGTTATCATTTTGAAGTGGACACGGGGAGAAAAAGTGAAATTCTCACCAGTTTTGGCAGTAGAACACGCCGCTTGAAAATCAAGATGGCAACAGTGCCGAGCAAAATTACTGAAAGCCCGATGCTGATTGGCTGATAAAAAATTATTTGTTTATCAGCCAATCAGCATCGGGCTTTCAACGTTTGTGCAAGTGGAACCACCACAGGATACAGTTTGCAAGGTGGTGCGGCGCGCAATGTTAGATTGTGTGTATTTGTGAGGGCAAACTTCAGTTCAAAAATTGCGCGCACGCAAATTCCAAGTTGGCTTGCGCGAATTTCAAAATAGGCCATCTTAAGATTGCATCACAATTACAGTTGTTTGAAACGCCACGACTTCGACATACTTTCGGCGCGACCGATGTCGTGGATTCGATGTCACATCACCAAACACAAATAATGCTCTTCAACGCTTCACCCTTTCATCAACTTTATAGGTAACGCTTCACCCAATTATTAAAAAGGAACGTTACGGCTTCACTATAACAACAACTTATTGACCTCAGGCTTCGGCGTCGAAACGGCGTCGATATTTTGCGACCTCTGAGGAGGGTGGGTCCACGCTTCAAATTGACGCCTGCACAAGGCTTAGGTTTCCCCGGACTCTACACAATCGGTATGATTTCTGTTTCAATTGTTATTAACCGTTAAATGTTAACTTTGAAGAAGATATTTTGGTTAATTTGGGGGGCATTTCGAAGTGTTTAAACGTTTAAATCTGTGGGATATTTGGGTCATAATTTGGAAGAACTTGTACGTGAAATCACTGCATTGTTATGTGTATCGTTCAAGGGTCATGTAAATCCCTTTGTTTTTGCTAGTTATTCATTAGAGTTTTGTCATTTATTGCAGTGAACCGCTTGCTGCCAGGCCATATCCACTCAGATCGCCGCGCACATCAGTTAAGCAATTATAACCAGGCAATGAAGGATCAAGTAATGTGTACACAAGTGGAGACAAATAAAAGGACTGGAGCGAGTTCAAAAATAGAGTTTCGACAATGTATTTCCCATGTACTAAGCTACATAGAAGTTCACGATTTTTCTGGGATAAACTGTGAGTGCAAATAAGTGTACAGTGTACTGTAATTTAGTAGAGATGACAGATGCAGTTACATCAACACCATCAGTAGAGAAGGACACTGTCAGTAATGGTGGATCGGTGAAATCAACCTAATCGGACAAAGGTTCGAGGATGACAGATACGAGAGCACGACTCCACCCACACAGGATGACAACGTTAGTGAACATGGATCAGTTAGATCCAACAAATCAATGAGAAGTTCCTGTAGTGTTGCGTCCATCGAAAAATATCGTGAGGCTAAGGCGAGGCTCGAGATTACTAAGCTGAGGAAAGAGCAGCTCAAGCGAAAGCAGCAACTGGAGCAACAGAAAATGATGTTGGAGATGAAATTACAACTTCAAAATGCGGAGGATGAAGAGGAGCAGGCAGAATTGGAGACACATATTTGGGGAGAGGAAATGCAAGAGGAAGATGCCATAGAAGACAGACCAGATGTTACACAAGCAATTGACACTAGTGTAGAAGTCACAAGCAGTACTCTGGTTGTCAACAACCATGATCGAGCACAGGCCGACATGATAAATGAAAGTGGCATTATAACATTTCCTTCAAACACAACAGAGGAGAGTGTCACACCACCCGAAGTAACCTCACAGTCCACTCCTGCATCAAATGATCAAGCAAGCATCACACAATTGTGCCAAGCCTTGACACTCACCATGAACATACCGAAGCCTGAGTTTAAGTCCTTTAGCGGAGACCCAGCGGAATATTGGGCATTCGTGACCAGTTTCGAGACAAACATCGGTTCCAAAGTGAATGATGCCCGAACAAGGCTGACTTACCTGGTGCAGTTCTGTCGAGGTAAGGCAAAGGAAAGCATCGAAAACTGTATCCTGATGGAACCCACAGAAGGCTACAAAACAGCACTTAAAATCATGCGCGAGCAGTTCGGACAGCCACACTTAATAATGCATGCTCTGCTGCGCAAGGTTACCAACCGAGGGCAGATACGACAGAACGATGGCAACGCCCTTTGGGATTTAGCGAGGGACATGAATAAGTGCCAAATAACCTTGTCCCAGCTTGGATACAATGCGGACATGAACAGCTCAGAGAACCTACTTAAGGTTCAGCGTCTCTTGCCCGTTCATCTACAAGCAGACTGGGCCAAGAAGGCACAGGTGACCATCTAGTCCAAACGAGAACCAAGCTTCGCACAGATGACGGAGTTTATTGAGACGAAAGCGAAAACTGCCAGCAATATGTACGGACAGAATATCACCAAGACTTTCAGTCCGACCAGCGCGAGTCATTCCTCACGCACCAAACCGAAGGCTTACCCGGCCAAGGTGACTGCGCTGTCAACTAGTGTGGGTGGTGACTATCTTCATGAAGCAAAGATGGACAAGCAAGTCAAATGTCTCTGCTGTTCCCAGCAACACAAATTGGCAGAATGCAAGACCTTCACACAGAAGTCATATTACGAGCGTCGTCAGTTTATGAGAGATAATAAACTGTGCGACAACTGCTTCATTCCATGGCATGTAGCCAGACGTTGCAGACTCAGCAGTCGTTGTGGGATTGATGGATGCACGTGGAAGCATCATACTCTCCTTCATCAACCCCGTGCGCCTGTTGCCAATTGTGAGGAGCAGAAGGGCTGCGAAAATCCAGCAAGTGTTAAACCTGAACCTGCTGGTACATGTACCTGCTGTGACATCAAGGCAAGTGGCCTTGCGATTGCTGCCAGTAAGGGTCAAACACAACGGCTGTGAGCTTGAGACTTGTGCTCTACTGGATGAAGGCAGTGACGTTTCGCTGTGCGACGAGGAGCTGGCTGAGCAGCTTGGGATCAGGGGTGAAAGGTTCAACTTCTCCCTGAATACAGTTGGAGGAACAAGCAAGTATCACGGCATGGAGATAAACCTAACAGTGAAGTCCATCCAAAATGATGAAGAGCTGGACCTACCGAGAGTGAGGACTGTCCAAACCCTGCCTATATCAAGAAGCGTCTTCCCAAATCAGAAGGATGTGAAGAAATGGAGACATCTGGATGGAATTGAGTTCCCCCAAACTGACGGAAAGCCAGTTCAAGTCCTAATCGGCGGAGATGTCCCTGCAGCCTTTTGGGTGATGGTAGAGAGGCGGGGAGGACGCAAGGAACCTTATGCGGTGCGATCACCTCTTGGATGGACGCTTGTTAATCATACATCACCCTCCTTCAAGCAGAGAGCAGGAAGTTTAAATATCAACCATGCCAAGCTGCAAGACGACCAACTGCAACAGCAAGTGCAGAGATTTCGGGAGGTAGATTTTTTTGCGGATCTATCATGGACAATAAGCGTGGTGACTCTGTGGCGGATCGGAGAGCGAGATCTACCATGGAGGAGTCTGCAAGGCTGATTGATGGGCACTACGAAATAGGTCTACCATGGCGAAGACGAAATCCTGACTTGCCAGACAACCGGGCACTTGCTGAGACGAGGTTGGGTTCCCTTAAGAAACGCCTGCAGAAAGATGATGATTTGCGTCAGCAGTACAAGGAAACCATTGATGGTTATGTCCAAAGGGGATATGCAAAACCAGTGCCGGAAGAAGTACCAAATGTCGAGGTGGGAAGGAAATGGTATTTGCCACATCTTCCTGTATTTCATCCCCAAAAGCCAGGAAAGATGAGAGTGGTATTTGACTGCGCAGCAAGATTCCGAGGTACATCACTCAATGATAATCTCCTACAGGGCCCAGACTTAACAAACAACCTGGTCGGTGTGCTGACTCGTTTCCGCCATGATACTGTTGCATTAGTAGCAGACGTGGAGGCTATGTTCCACCAGGTACGAGTTCCCGAGAGAGACTACGATGCCCTACGATTTATGTGGTGGCCGAGTCATGACTTGTCCAAGGATCCGACTGACTTCAAGATGCTGGTTCATTTGTTTGGGGCAACATCCTCGCCCAGTTGTGCAGGATTCGCTCTGAGGAAAACGGCAGATGACTATGGTGCTGAATTTGGGGAGGCTGCCATCTCAGCAGTACGTGACAATTTCTACGTCGATGACCTTTTGGTATCGGTGAGTTGTGCAGAAGCGGGTATCAACCTGGCTAGACAGCTCATTGATCTGCTCAGCAAAGGTGGATTTAGACTGAGGAAATGGATCAGCAATAACCGGGAGGTTCTGTCTGCTATTCCAGCAAGTGAGAGAGCCTCATCTGTGTTGGATCTGGATTTGGGAGACTTACCAATCGAGCGTACCCTTGGTATACATTGGAACGTACAGTGGGACACCTTGGTTTCAAGACGGTTCTGAGGGAAAGGCCTGCCAAGATTTTGCTTCAGGATATCTGCAGCAAGAAGCTAGGTTGGGACGAAAAGGTTGAGGAGCGATAATTGTTTAGATGGAAGCGCTGGTTGGATGACCTGCCAAGATTGGAGGCTCTCACCATCCCCAGGTGTTTGAGACCAAGGGAGCTAGAAGATACTGCAATCAGTCAGCTGCACTTCTTTTCAGACGCCTCCGAGCGTGGATATGCGGCCCTGGCTTACCTACGGACAGCGGATGGATCAGGAAGGATAGACTGTCCCTTCATCATTGGGAAGGCAAGGATGTGTCCTAAGAGGTCGATATCCATACCGAGGTTGGAACTTACGGCAGCTGTCCTATCAGTTCAGCTCAGCAAAATGGTTCAGGAAGAGCTGAGATTGCCCATCACCGACATTGTATTCTGGAATGATTCAACTTCGGTTCTGCAATACATAAGAAACGAGAGTAGGCGCTTACGCACCTTTGTGGCAAATCGGGTCGCAAGGATCCAAGATGCCACCGATGAGTCACAGTGGCGATATGTCAACACTGCATCCAACCCAGCAGATGAAGGGTCCAGGGGCCTGAGCGCTGAAAGGATGATCAAAGATGGCCGCTGGTTAAAGGGGCCGCAGTTCCTGATGATGAATGAGGATCATTGGCCAATACCTCCAGTTGTCATGCAGGGTACTGTACCAAACCCTGACATATTGCCGCTCAATGATGCTCTTGAGAGAGATCCTGAACTCAAGAGGGTGGTGACGCAGACAGCCTTAGTGCGAGAGAAGCCGAAGGTTAATGAATTCTTGACCAAGTACTTATCATGGAACCGATTGAAGAGAGGCGTTGCTTGGCTCTTGCGTTTCGTTCAGTATCTTCACACCCACTGCAAGGGATTAGCAGATGACTCAAGCCTTAAACAAGGAGGTCTTTCCGTAGAAAGAGATAGATGCACTTCACTCGAGGAAGCAGGAGACGGCCACCTGCGGAAGGAAGTCCAGGGGGCAACAGTTCTCTCTTCACAAACTGAATCCTGTTTTGATGGATGCATCTTGCGAGTAGGCGGTCGCCTTAGAAACGCACCAATTGATCAGGAGATGAAACACCCGATTATTCTTCCCAGCAACCATAAGGTGACAGAGCTCGTTATCATTCACCATCACTTGCTAGTAGGGCATTCCGGGGTTGGAATGACATGGTCGTCGCTGAGGGAGAAGTTCTGGGTCGTCAGAGGTGGCGCAACTGTAAGACGTGTCATTGGCAACTGCTTCGAGTGCAAGAAGAGGAATGCTCCATTGAGACAACAGTTCATGGGTGACTTACCGGCGGCTAGAGTAACGCCAGATAATCCTCCGTTCACATCGGTCGGTGTTGACTACTTCGGTCCCGTCTACGTGAAGCAAGGCCGGAGTCACATCAAACGGTATGGGTGCATCTTCACCTGTTTATCGATGCGGGTAGTCCACCTTGAAGTTGCTCACTCTCTGGATACCGATGCCTTTATCAACGCACTTCGACGATTTATCGCAAGAAGGGGCAAACCACAGATCATCATGAGTGATAACGGCACAAATTTCGTCGGGGGAGAGCGAGAGCTGCGGGAAAGTCTTGATGACCTGAATCAGCGGAGGGTTAGTGACTTTCTGCTGCAGCAGGGTATCAGGTGGCAATTCAATCCTCCAACAGCAAGCCATATGGGCGGTGTATGGGAGAGAATAATACGGTCTGTGAGCAAGATCTTGAGGTATTTGTTGAAGGAGCAAGTTGTGTCTGACGAAGTTTTGCTTACCTTGATGGCAGAGGTCGGGGCAATTCTCAATGCCAGACCATTGACCCCACTGAGTTTTGATCCAGGTGACGTCGAGCCTCTGACACCGAATCATTTGTTGCTGTTGCGGGCTAATCCCAGCTTACCCCCAGGTCTGTTTCAGAAGGAAGATGCATACAGCCGTCGACGTTGGCGTCAAGCTCAGTTTCTGGCCGACCAATTTTGGAGCGTTGGCTTCGAGAGTACTTACCTGTATTGCAACTTCGACAGAAGTGGACGCAGCGAGTACAGAATCTTCAAGTTGGAGATCTGGTCCTGGTGGCGGATGACAGGGTGTCTCTCGGTCATTGGCCTTTGGGAAGAGTCAGCCAAACCTACCCAGACCATGAAGGCAACGTCCGACAGGTGGAGGTCAAGACCGGGACTGGCTACTTCAGACGACCATTCACCAAGCTGTGTCTCGTCGAGAGTGCCAAGAACTAAGTTGTTGTTGTTATTCAGACTTTAAGGGGACGTTACATAAAGTTTGGGGAAAATGAAAATCTAGTAAGAAAGTTCATTTGGGGCTGGGAATGTAACGTTGACTTACCAGTTACATCAAATTTCATTCGTGATTTGTTTTGGGGGCGCCCTTTGTTTACATGTGCAGGCTTGCGCGTAGGTCAAGGGTCAAGCGCGACATGTACTGATTCGTTGTGAACGTAATTCCAGAAATTTAAGGCTTAGGTTTCCCCGGACTCTACACAATCGGTATGATTTCTGTTTCAATTGTTATTAATCGTTAAATGTTAACTTTGAAGAAGATATTTGGGTTAATTTGGGGGGCATTTTGAAGTGTTTAATCGTTTAAATCTGTGGGATATCTGGGTCATAATTTGGAAGAATCTGTACGTGAAATCACTGCATTGTTATGTGTATCGTTCAAGGGTCATGTAAATTCCTTTGTTTTTGGCTAGTTATTCATTAGAGTTTTGTCATTTATTGCAGTGAACCGCTCACTGCCAGGCCATATCCACTTAGATCGCCGCGCACATCAGTTGAGCAATTATAACCAGTCAATGAAGGATCAAGTAAAGTGTACACAAGTGGAGACAAATAAAAGGACTGGAGCGAGTTCTAAAATAGAGTTTCGACAATTTATTTCCCATGTACTAAGCTACACCCACCATGAGCAAAATCCAGCTTGCATGTGACAACACTTTTACAAATACAAGTGCTCAAGGAATAACTCACGATATAATTTCTCGGTCTCAACAGAACCTATTTGATTCCAACACAGTATTTCCGCATGGCCCTCTCAGTGAGATGGCAGCCATCTACAAGATGTTTGGGCTGATTTATACGCCTTTGGGTGTACAAACCCACGTTCGGATGTCCCATCCTCAGTGCCGCACGCACCCTCGAAATTGACAACCCTGAGTATCCCCTAATCCGGAGGTGTATGCCTAGCGGGAGGTTAACAATGCGTTCCACTGGGACAGACCGATCACGCGCCATTTTTGCTAATCTCGCAGGAAAAGAATGCCCGAACAAGTAACAAATTTGGTCTGCCATGACAATACTGCACATGAACACTTCAAATTTTGCCCGTGTTCACAAGGTAAATTAAACAAAAGCCAAAAGTAGAAAACGTATTTACAATGGGTGTCAGGGTCGGAGAACAGTACGTGACGGCCTGGCAACTAAAGAGTAGCAGTGGCCTTGTCTCGCTCAGGTGAGCGAGCTACTACTTACGTATACAGTTCACTATGACGCACCGGCTTCTTTCCCTGATGCTCCTTGATGCTGAACGTCGAGGCTGTGCCTCAGGGTAGAGTGGCTCCCTGATTGGACCAGCAGGGCCGACCACTTTCTTGGGCTGCACTGGCACCACCAAAGGAACATATTCCTCGTTCCCACTCTCCTCATCGGACTCTGCAACAGGAGTATTCAGTGAATGGTTATGAAGGGGCACCTTGCATGCAGGTGTGTCATATGATCCTCTAGATCAAGGATAAGTTTTCGACGATTGAGCCATTTTTCAGGCCCACATTGCACCGGTCTAACAGCATACAAGTCCTTATCTGGACAACTCTTTACTACAACATACTGCTCATGCCCAAAATGGTCCGCCAACTTATGCCGTTCCTTGAAACCACTCTGCTGTACCAGCACCCGACTACCAACTAGCAAGGGGCAGGCCTTAGCATGTTTGTCGTATCGGCACTTATTAGAAGCAGCCAGTTTTATCATGCGTTCCTTCGCCATCTCAAGTGCCCGTTTCAATAGTTTTGCCTGCTGATCTATGGCGCTTTCCTCCCAAGATGGTCGCACACCCCCAAGTAGGTGATCCAATTGCAGTTTGGGAGTCCTACCGAACATCAGTGTGTAAGGGGAATACCCCATTACACTGTGTGGCGTACAATTGTACATAAATACTTGTCGAGGAAGCAACTTTGGCCAACGGAACCGGTCCTGACTATCAACCGACTTGATCAGACCACAAAGTGTACGGTTAAAACGTTCTGTTTGACAATTTCCCTGTGGGTTGTATGGACTGGTCCTGGTTTTTTTAATCTGATATAGGGCACAGAACTCGTGGATCAGTTTACATTCAAAGTTGCGGCCCTGGTCCGCATGAATCCTAGCAGGAATTCCATAATGGACAAACCAGTGATCATTGATGGCCCAAGCTACCTGTGGAGCAGTTTGATCTGTACAGGGCACAGCCATGGCGAATTTCGTAAATGCATCGGTCATTACCAAAACATCCTCCAGGTTACCCAGACCTCGATCCAATTTCACAAAGTCTATGGCAAGACATTCCAGAGGCTGGAACGCCAGCAGATGCTTCATGGGTGCACGCACAACAGGGATCGGTGCCTTTGCCACCGTACAAGCAAAACAACACTTTATGTACTCCCGGACTTGTGTACCCATCCCCGGCCAGAAACATCGTTGCCTAAGTAGCCCCATGGTTCTACCTGTACCTTGGTGTCCCCATTTGTCATGATCAGAACCAATCAATTCTGCCCGAAGCTTTTCCGGAATGAGCACCTCAAGGATCTCCCCCAGACCAGGATCATTGATAGTCCGATAAAGGACGCTTTTTCGTTCAACCATGCGAGACCACTCTCTGACCCAGCCTGCAACTGCCTTTTTTATCTCAGGTGAGGCATGATGTTCAAAGCCAGGCTGCCAACCGCGCTCTCGCAGTCTCCAGATCTCACCCAACGCAAAGTCATCCTTCTGCATGGAGGCAAGCTCACCAAGCGTATATGAAGGCAATGGAAATTGACTCTCGCCCACCGGTTTAGCCTCGTCACAATGGACCTCATCTAAACGTCTACCACCGCAACTGACTTCAGGTGGCACTGGGGTGCTCTGCAGAACCGTCTGTACAGAGATAGCATTCAGTTCTTAATTCGCTGGGTTGCGGCTTAGAGCGTCTGCGCACTTGTTTGTGCGACCAGATCTGTAACGTATGTCTAGATGGAACGGTGCCAGCTTGGGCCACCCATCTTTGCTCGATAGCACCAAGTTTTGCTGTAAACAAATGTGCCAACGGGTTGTTGTCCGTCCATACCACAGTGTGACGCCCCAAAAGGTAATCTCTGAATTTCTCAGACACTCCCCATTTCAACGCTAGCAGCTCCAACTTGAAGCTCGACATATCTGGGTAATTTCTTTTCGGCCGCCGCAGGCTACGACTGGCAAATGCAACCGGGTGAAGATGACCATCGTCATCATATTGTGACAGACAGACCCCTAAACCAGCCAGCGAAGCATCCACCTCTAGAACAAAGTCCTTGTCGAAACGAGTGAAGGCCAGAACTGGTGCCTCAATCAATGCCATCTTCAGAGCACGAAAAGCCTTATCAGCTTCAGCCGACCACAAAAATGGATAGGGTGCCTTCCCTGCTTTTGTCACAGCCTTGCCGACAAGAGTATGAAGAGGGCTAGCAACCTTTGAGAACCCTTTCACGTATCGGCGATAGTAAGACGCCATGCCCAAAAATGAGCGATGTTGCTCTGCATTTGCTGAAACTGGCAGCTGCTTTATTCTCAACACCTTATCTGGGTCCGCAGAGACACATTCAGAGGACACAACATGCCCAAGATGATGCACGGTGCCCCGAAAGAACTGACACTTAGCTCCATTCAACTTCAAGCCGTTGCTGGACAGTCGACCGAGAACATTGTCTAACCTGCTCAAGTGTTCTTCGAAGGTGGATGAATACACTAGGACATCATCTAGGTAAAGAACTAGTAGGGAGAAATTGAGGTCACCAAAAATGGCTTCCATGATGCGTTGAAAAGTGCTCGGACTGTTGATCAGCCCCTGTGGAAGACGGAGAAATTCGTAGAGGCCCCAAGGCACTCTAAACGCAGTCTGGGGAACCGAATCTCGATGCATTGTAACTTGGAAATAGCCGTGTGCCAGGTCTAGTGAGGAAAACAGTCTGGCTCCAGCTAAGGACTCTAGAGTCTCCTCGATTCGAGGAAGAGGGAAGCAGTCCTCCGATTTTTTCTCATTAAGCCGCCTATAGTCAAAACATAGGCGGAGTTGCCCAGACTTTTTACGCACCAAAACAATAGGACTGGCATAAGGGCTGACTGATTTCCTTATTACGCCCTTCTCCAGCAAATCATGCAACATCTTCCTGACTTGAGACACTTGGAATCACCCGTCTATACGGCTGACGAATAGGCTTCTCGTCGACAAGCTTGATCTCATGGGGTATGAGGTTACAAAAGCCCACATCATACGGTCCCATGGAAAATGCACGCTCGTGCTTCTTCACAAGTGCTGCAGCAGCAACTGCTCACTATCTCCAAGCTCCTTCAAAGAGATACACGGAGGTAAAAGATATGACGAAGCATCTGAAAAGGTGAATAACTCGGCTAATAAAGGCTTTCACCCTTTCCTTCGTGGATGTCTCACCTTCGTCCACCCCCAGCGGGTCGAGAACCACTGTGTGCGCCACCACCGCGGCTTGACCATCAAGCATGCCTACTTCAATCTGTTCTTGCTCCGCCACTGGTGTTGCAGTTGCCAATTTAGTAAACGCTGGAATTGTAAGTTGCTCTCTAGAGGTGTTGGCCACCAACAGCACAACAGATGAGCCTTCAATCTTCTGGACACCCTCCACAAAAGTGGGGGATACGTCCTCACAGCCTACACCATCTTCAGTCTCAAGTGTAGTGGCTCAGAAAAGAACAACACTGTCTGGGGATTCTTCTTGCCCCTGATGAATTTCACAAGTCACAAGCCTGGCACAATCTGGAGGTATAACCTCACAACACTGGGTCCAGGTCTCAGCTACCCCAACTGTGCTGGGCTTCTCCTCAACTCTCTGTGCTGACTTCTGTCCAGTCTTCTCACCATCAAACCATCTTAGGGCTAGGTCCTACTCAGGAGTTAACTGACGAACCTTGCTTTGATTCAGCTGAGAAACTATCACTCTCAATACATTGCAACCAAGAAGGATGGGAAATGTATCTCTCCTGCCCCCTGAATCAGATTCT